CGATCTGCTTATTCAGTTTCTCCTAGTTGTCCTCAGAAGTAACTTAAACAAAAGATTTTTGTTAACCTGTTGGAACTGACTTGACTGTGATGAAACAGATTTCATTCTCTTACTTAGATTTCTTCAAGTTTATTTTTTCTTCACGGATAACACCGGCCCACAGCTTATGTTTAAGATTTGCTTAGGGAGAGAGGCTTGTCCGGAGACAGTAAATTTGGGGGGAAGTAAATTTGTCTGTCTTCACTTAAAAAAATATCAGGCTATTTATCTTTTCAATAATGATGGTGGTGCTTCTACATACAGTATCAAGAAGGATGTTTTGCTGCCAAAAAAAGGGATTGAAATGAATCTCTTGTTTTTAAGAGAGCCACATACCCCTTAGAGATGGCAACAGTGCCTTGTTAAACAATGGAAGCCAAGCCATGGTAGAAAAAAAGACCATGCGCTCTGCGCACACAACCTCTACACTTTTCTGGTTGAGAATCAGCTGGCATTTTAAGCTCTACAATCTTCTAGCATTTGGGTTTGGATTTCTTTTCCAGATACTGTGGTTGGTACCTCAGTATTCATCATTAATGCAGTGGTGGGTTCCTCCTGGTTCGGTCCAGTTCAGCCGAGCCGGTAGTGGTGACGATATGACGTCACCGAACCGGTTCTCCCCCCCGCCCTCCCACCCCCCACCCACCCACGTTATTCTTACCTTTTATTTGGTCCCACCCCCAATCTATTGCTGCCTCCTGAGTCCCAGCTGATGACTAGAGGGAAAAAAACTGTTTAAACTCTTGCCGCGGGGCTTCAAAGGGCCGTCCTACAGCTGATCAGTGTTAAAAGCAAACAAATGAGTCAGGTCGTAAGTGCGAGGACTGGTCGTAAGTGCAAGGACCTTCCAGAAATGACTCTGACCAGCTAGCCACACCCACGTAGTCACATGACCTCCAAGCCACACCCACAAAATAACAGAACCACGCCCACAGAACCAGTAGTAAAAAAAATTAGAACCCACCCCTGCATTAATGGGTTTGGGAGACGTGATGAGTACCAAAAATACTGAGTACCAAACAAAGTTTTCCCATATGGAAAAAGGTAGTGAGTCACAAGGCAGTCAATACCAACAAGTTCTAGCTTGTGCGTTGAGTACCAAACAAACTATGAGTACTGGGATAAAATGTTTGCATCAAAATGTGTTGAGTACCAAATTCAATGAGTTTCAAAGCAGTTGAATACCAAGGTACCACAGTATACCATTTTTTAGTTATGAGTATTCCAATATACTCAATTTCTGTTTGATTATTGCTGGTAACTGTACCAATTATATGAAACAACTACATCATAACTGCAGGCAGTACATGCATTTAATGGTTAGAATTTACTTTATCTGCATGGCTACCAGAGCTACCACATCTTGGACTTGCTCAGGCAGATGTTTCCCAAGAACTAATAAAGACAAGAAAGTAAGGAAGACTATAAGTGAGTTGAGATACTCTTCCCCCACTCGCTTTCCTTTGACACACACACACACACACACATTCATGCCTCCATCTTTTCTGCCTCCTCCAAAGTGTGGATATACATGCCATTTAAAATCGACACTTATAAGTGAAGTGGGAGTGTTTATATATTTGCAAATGTGAACACAAAATTTAAGTGTGGAAACTCTTCAACACTGAAGATGACATTGTGTGTTCTCATGGCACTGGACGAGGGGTGAAATCCAACAGGTTCTGGAGAACCGGTAGCAGAAATTTTGAGTAGTTCAGAGAACTGGCAAATACCACCTCTGGCTGGCCCCAGAGTGGGGAGGGAATGGGGATTTTGCAATATCCTTCCCCTGGAGTGGGGTGGGAATGGAGATTTTGCAGTATCCTTCCCCTGGAGTGGGGTGGGAATGGAGATTTTGCAGTATCCTTCCCCTGGAGTGGGGTGGGAATGGAGATTTTGCAGTATCCTTCCCCTGGAGTGGGGTGGGAATGGAGATTTTGCAGTATCCTTCCCCTGGAGTGAGGTGGGAATGGAGATTTTGCAGTATCCTTCCCCTGCCATGACCACCAAGCCACGCCCACCAAGCCACGCCCACAGAACCAGTAGTAAAAAAAATTGGATTTCACCACAGCACTGGACAATGAGAAGGCCTTTAAGTAGCATAACAATAAAACAATTGACAGAAGGGGCAGAGACCAGCATGAGGATGAATAGAATATTTATTTTATTGTAATTATACCTTGCCCTTGAACTCAAGTGAATATTCAAGGAGTACAATATTTCTAACTCTTAATAGTTGGGAGGAATAGCACGAACGTGAAAATGAAGAGAAGGCATAGACTAGGTGTGTTCAACCTTGGTAAACTTTAAGATCTGTGGATTTCAGCTCCCAGAATTCCCCAGCTAGCCCATTCTGGCTGAGGAATCCTGGGAGCTGAAGTCCACAAGATTTAAAGTTGCCAAGGTTGGATATCCCTGACATAGACAAAAACAACCATAGCTCTTATGTTCTTTTCCCACTCTTAATAAGGACAACCTACCTTCAAGTGGTTCGATCTTCAACCTAAAAGTTGTATTTCCTTTCAGAAAGACTTTTTGAAATCAGGCAAAGTCTGAGGGTTCCAGAGTGTTCAATGTTCATGTGAAACCTTGTGAAGCGGTGGTGGATTCCTCCCGGTTCAGCCCAGTTCGGCAATATGACATCACTGAACCGGTTCTGTTTGTTCGGGAGCTGGGCCCTCCCGCCCCTCCCCTGTGTTATTCTTACCTTTTATTTGGCTCCACCCCAGGGGTGGGTTCTAAAATTTTTTACTACCGGTTCTGTGGGCATGGCTTATTTTGTGGGTGTGGCTTGGAGGTCATGTGACTAGGTGGGGTGGCTGGTCAGAGTCATTTCTGGAAGGTCCTCGCACTTATGACCAGTCCTCGCATTTACGACCCGACTCATTTGTTTGCTTTTAACACCGATCAGCTGTAGGACGGCCTTTTGAAGCCCCGCGGCAAGAGTTTAAACAGGTTTTTTCCCTCTAGTCATCAGCTGGGACTCAGGAGGCAGCACTAGATTGGGGGTGGGACCAAATAAAAGGTAAGAATAACGTGGCTGGGGGGGAGGGCGGGGGGAGAGAACTGGTTCGGTGACATCATATCGTCACCGCTACCGGCTCGGCCGAACCGGAACAAACCGGGAGGAACCCACCACTGCTCCACCCCCAATCTATTCGCTGCCTCCCAAGTCCCAGCTGATCAGCTAGAAGGAAAAAAACTCTTTAAACTCTTGCTGCGGGGCTTCAAAGGGCCACCCTACAGCTGATCAGTGTTAAAAGGCAGTGTGGTGATAGACCAGTGCGCTCGAAAAACAAATGGGTAAACCAGTACAGCTCTGCAAGCAGTTAAAAGCCTGGTAGATCAGTACCTCTGCTAAATCCTAAAGAACTGTCACATGACCATCAAACCACGCCCACAAAATAAGCCATGCCCACAGAACCGATAGTAAAGAAATTTAGAACCCACCCCTATTGTGAAGCCTCATGTTAACCATGACCTTAGTTCTGTCACACAACTTCTTGACCACAGGGGTGGAATTGGTGAAACCAAAAAACCATCCATCCAATTTGCTTTTCTATTCCACCCTACCTGATGTTTTACCTCCCTCTCCTGGACCAAAGTAGGAGATCTGAAGTCAAAGACCCTTTACGCTTAAATGTGCATTTTTTTAAAAAACTAGCAAACTTATTGTTCCCAAGGTTGAAGCAGAAAGCAGAGAAGTTTTCTGATATGAAATGTCAGTGAAGGAATTCTTCCAATATAAATAGCAGCTCCAAAGATATTTTCATTGCAACTGAAAGATGGAAGGAAAAAGTTAACATATTCACCCCACCAGCACCTTATGATCCTGATAATGATCAGCTTCTTTCCAATGCTATTATTTGCATTTTTAAAGGATATATGTATTAATGTAAGAATACATTTAATGGTAATATCACTTTTACCCTTTTCTTCATTATCCTGTAAGTTGCCACAATAGTAACACTATAGAACAAATACTTTGTTCATAGGCAATACAAAGAAGATATCAGGTACTTATTAAATGGCTTGCATGGTTGCTGACATACACCTTAGCTTGCTTCTTACATTGCAAAGTAAGAACTTCTGCTAGAGGAAGTCCAAAGAATGTTTCAGTAGCAACATTGGAGTATTATGTACATAAGGATGAACGGTTCTTAATAACTTTCATACATACATCAGACACAAACATATTCTCTATGAAAAATATGCACCACTAAATAAGTTTACTTCTGCTACATATTTTAGAGACAGAGGGATGGTTGATGATTAACAAACTGATGCTTGGGTTGAGATCAGTTTTCCTCATCTCCACACATCCATTTCTTCCCAGATTGTCTTTAGTCATGTGATCGCAATTCAAGCACTCACATTAAAATAGGTTGCCGCATCTGGCAGTCATGTGATCCAGATTTGCAAGCTTTGCAAATTCCCATTGGGAAACTAGGTTTGCTTAAGGACCATATGATTTGCTTAATAATTTCCCTAACAAATGTCATAAAAGTGGGTCTGACTCAACTTACAACCGCAATGGCTTGTGATGGAAATTCCGCTCCCAATTGTGGTCATAAGTCAAGGATTGCTGTATGCATGCGGAATCTATGTATTATTTTTGGCTCTTTTGAATCTCCTGACAGCCTCAGCAGGTATTTGCCTGATTCAAGGATTCCATCCTTTGCTCATATATTCAGTTGAATGTTTGACAAATGTGTAAATGAACAGAATGGATCCCGACAGTAATCATGATTAAATCACTGTTTCTTTCAGCAGTGTGGGATAAGAGTTGGGCTTTACCTTTGAAGTAGTTCCAAAAGGTAACACCATTATTTTCAATTAATTTAATATGTAGTTATTCCTGCTGAAGAAAAAAGGATGGAGATTATTTCTCCAACCTGGAAGATATAAGGCAGTGCTGGTATTCAGCTGGTTCTATCCGGTTTGGGCAAACTGGTAGTGGCAGTTGCGGGAGGCTCCGCCCACCCGCCTGGATGTGATCCAGGATGTCATCACATCCCATTTTTGATGCTCTGTGCATGTGCAGAAGACTGCGCATGCGTGGCAGTGGTGGGTTTCCAATTATTTTACTACCAGTTCTGTGGGCATGGCTTGGTGAGCGTAGCATGGCGTGGTGGGTGTGGCTTGGTAGGCCCAACAGGGGAAGGATACTGTAAAATCTCCATTCCCATCCCACTCCAGGGGAAGGATACTGTAAAATCTCCACTCCCTCCCCAATCCAGGGGAAGTTTACTGCAAAATCCCCATTTCTTCCCCATCAGCTGGGACTTGGGAGGCAGAGAATAGATGTGGGTGGGGCCAGTCACAATGTTTACTACCGGTTCTCCGAACTACTCAAAATTTCTGCTACCGGTTCTCCAGAACTGGTCAGAACCTGCTGAAACCCACCTCTGATGCGCAGAGGTGGTGCGTGCGTACTCACATTTGGGAACCGGTAGCGAAGGTAAGTGAATGCCACCCCTGATATAAGGTGTATTCTCCTGGAGTATCTTGGCTTCTGAGCTGGAGTAAAAAACAGTGTAAGCACACACTCATTTTCCTTTCTTTCCTTAGTCTTTGAGAATGCTGCCTAGGTTAATTTACTTAGGAGTAATAAGAAGTCACTCAAAGACACCCTTAGACAAAGAATTGGACTACATGTGTATGCAATGCATTGTTATTTATATAAAGGCATATATAACTTTTATTCCTCTTATATTTTGGTGATACTCTTCACTTAATTTCAATGATATATATATATAAGAAAGGTACGTGTATTTTTAGGCATGTTTCTTTTTATAACATTTCAGGAATGAAATGTGCCCATTACAATAGTGACCAGGAAGCATTTCTATGAAAACAAGGTCTGTGTACTGTAAATTAGGGAAGTTCTTTTCAAAGTCCATCAATATTTACACTTCCTTGTGTGGCATTTAAAATGAACTGCTATCGTAGTTCATGCAACAGCAGCACGGATCATATACTACTTCCAAATCCATTAAGTAGTTTCTGTTGTTGGAATCCTGAGTAGCAGGTATAGCCTGAAACAAGGGTCACTTACTTTAATACGGTCAAAGTAAACAACTAACACAAATGTTCTAATATTCATAATATGTTTGCTATAATTCACTGTAAAAACTAAGCTGGGACTCTGGAAACAAGTGGACACATTTGAGATTTAAACTATTCTGTGTACTCTCAAAAATTACTACCTTGGGACATGAGGCAAATCAAACCACACATGGACCAAGGAAAAAACTCAATCAGGTTGCCTCCTTTCAGCCTCCATTACATCCAGTCTCCAAGATGCTCTTTAATACCTCCGCTTGGCTACGTTGCTGATTATTTTCCTTAAAAGATTTTCAAAAGGAACATTGGACTGTAACTTGAATCAATTACTCTTTCTAAAATTACCTCTAAGATAAAATTGCCTCTTGGGAGTATTTGATTTGTTGTTTCGCTTGGTAGGATGCAATCTTCATGAGTAGGAATACACACAGGCCATGTATGTATATATATTCTACATAGATAGATAGAGCAGTGGTGAAATCCAAATTTCTTAACTACCGGTTCTGTGGGTGTGGCTTGGTGGGCGTGGTGTGGTTTGGTGGGTGTGGCTTGGTGGGTGTGGTGGGGGAAGGATACTGCAAAATCTCCATTCCCACCTCATTCCAGGGGAAAGATACTGCAAAATCTCCATTCCCACCCCACTCCAGGGGAAGGATACTGCAAAATCTCCATTCCCACCCCATTCTGGGGCCAGCCAGAGGTGGTATTTGCTGATTCTCCAAACTACTCAAAATTTCCACTACCGGTTCTCCAGAACCTATCAGAATCTGCTGGATTTCACTCCTGAGATAGAGATTAGATAGATTTATTTATTTATTTATTTATTTATTGGTTCGATTTATATGCCGCCCTTCTACAGAGACTCAGGGTGGCTTACAATACGTTAAGCAATAGCCTTCATACTTTTGTATATACCTGCTTAGTAGGGCTTTCAGCCCCCGCTAAGTGGTGTTCTTTTTTATACAAAGTCAGCTTATTGCCCCCACAATCCAGGTCCTCATTTTACCTACCTCGAAAGGATGGAAGGCTGAGTCAACCTTGAACCTGGTGAGATTTGAACTTGCAGTAATTGCAGGCAGCTGGTGCTACTTAATAGCACTTTAGTCTGCTGCACCACCAAGGCTCTAGATGATAGATAGATAGATAGATAGATAGATAGATAGATAGATAGATAGATATAGACAGACAGACAGACAGACAGACAGACAGACAGATAACAAATAGGCAGGCAGACGTTTGTGTGTGTTGTGTGTTTGTGTGTGTGTGTATGTATGTATATATATATATATATATATATATATATATATATATATATATATATATATATATATGAGAGAGAGAGAGATACTAATAGAGACTGTACCTTATTAAAATGAAAAAAAAATATTGAAGACTGATAAGTTTCCAGAACCGCCATATGCATCATGTCATCATATATTTAATGCAAATAAAGTAATTTCTGCCATCATCCATGATAATGTCATGACACATATATCATTTGTACGCCCCAATAGTCACAAGCATTCCCATGCCTGACAAGCATAATAACTGCTAGGTACACTGGTACCTATGAACACCTTGTAGTGTCCAAACAGCTATTGCTTTCAAAAAGCCCAAGTCACCCAGGACTCCTGCTTTTTGAATAGGAATGTTAACATAACATATACCGTAGTTTTATTGCTCATCCAGAAGTCAAATATAAGGCAATCTGTATTTTTGCCCTTTTATCGGGGTGGGTTCTACTTACCTTTACTACCGATTCACAACGGGACCGCACACGCTCTTCTGCACATGTGCAGAAGCATTTTGATGACATTGGGGTGGGTGGGCGGAGCCTCCTCCAGTTTTACTACCAGTTCGATAGAACCAGCCTGAACCGGGGGCAACCCACCACTGCCTTGTATATTTTGTCTAACATATAATAATTGGACCTAGAAATACAGGAAATCTCAATGTACGGCTAGATAGGTAGACATTGTGGCTACAAAATTACATACTACCACCCCAGCTGACTTTAAGTAACCTTTAAAAACATGTTGGTTTAGTTCTGGTTAATATTTAGATGGGCGACTACAAGGAACCCCAGGACTTTGTTGGCTAAATTGACAAGTTAAATAAAATATCCAAGGAAACAGTAATTACAGTATAAATCACTTCTGTACTGTTGCCAAGAAAACTCCATAAAATCAACAGGAGTTTAGCTGGACTGAGAATATCTTTATTTTAAATTTAGTAAACCAAATTGATGAGGCTAGAGCACAGCAGATTCTTAAGTGTAAATTGCACCATTTCTCTTCTTAGCCTACCCCAATTCAATCACCAGCTTTTGCTTCATTCTTCTCACAAAGTTCTGTTTCTTGATAATCCAAGGAGGCACTGACAAGAGCAGAATTATTTTATCCTAAAATATTATTTCTTCCCAAAATTATAAGCATAACAATAGAATGCAAGAATGCAAACATACATCAAGACAAATAAAAATGCTTACACACAATGCAAGGCTCGAGTCCCTACCAATTAAACCTTGAGACAGGGGGCATCTTAAGGGAAGTTTAAATTAGAGTCCTTGATTTATTTTACACAATGAGATTTCCCCGCATAGTTACCACGGTTTGACCAAACAGCACTGAAAATTACTGCCCTTCATTTCTATGACAGCAAAAGGAAGCAACGTGTGCTTGAAGTCACTGGAATTATTTATCATAGCAAAGATAAATGGAGGCCCCATCCAACCCACTGGTGCATGAAAAACAGCCGATATTTTACAAAGTTCACAGAGAGTTTGTGAGAAACAATGACCCTGGAGGGTTTGGCTTAAAGAGAAATTGCAGACTGTCTCATAGTGTGCAGTTCAGGGTTTTGGGATGCACTTAGTAATACATTCATGCAGATGATATATGACTCTATTTTCTAGTGAATGGAAGCACGCCAATCTGAGGATCAACCACTACAGTGTGCAGAACAAAAGATGAGAATAAAGTTGGTGCTTTGTACATACGAGATCTTCAATTCAAACAATGACTTATCCAGAAGACTCCACACTCTGCGACTGGATTCTATACAGTACAGTTTCTTCAGGAACATTTTTTTTTCCTAAGAAGGAAGATCACTTGCTTAGCTTTGTATGATCATGCCTTTTAACCGTCACAAGAGGGAGGCAACTGACAAAACATGCAACGTGACACAAATACCCTGCTGTGTATTTAAGTGCAGTGCTTAAAAAGAAGTATACAGGTTGATTTGGCTTTCTACTGAAGTATATTGTATATTTTATTTTCTTTATTATACTATATTATAGTATATTAATGATATCGTATATTGATATTAATGATACCGTATAAGATATTAATACCGTATAATGTAGTTATAATACAATTTATATATATTTTTAGTATTAAGAACTTGTCTGTCAAAAAAAAAAAAGGCAGCATCTTACTAGTACATAACTTGTGAAAAGTGAATCCACACATTTAAACTGACCCTAACGTAGCCAGAATAATTTGCCCTACAAATTAACTGACTTTGCCTAAGGATTATGCTATCAGCAGTCCTGGCACGGTCCCTGAGCTTATTGAAACCTTTATTTGTTTATTGGTTATTTGTTTAAAACCATTTATAATCTGCCTGTCCACAGAGAGGGCATTTACATAGCCCATATGCAAAGGACAATCAAACAAATCAAACAAATCAAACAAAACAATCAAAACAAACATTAAACCGCTCAGGTCCAGAGAAGAAAAACTGAAATCTGAGAAAAAGTTGGGGGGAAAGCAAGAATATAGGAGGTTTTTGAAAGACTCTCTTACAAAGTTGGAAACAAAATGGGAAAAATAAACCTTACAAACTACCCACCATGCTGTTGTTCTGATATTAAATCTCTCAAGCCCTCTTCTTTTCCTTAGAGGCTGTTGAGATTTGGGTGAGGGGAGACAAAATTTTAAAAAGTGATATTTGCCCAGTCTACTCTTTGGCAGTAATGAGGCCTTTCCCCATTTGTACTTAACCATCCTTCAAATGTGCCACAGTAATCTCTTTTCTCTGAGAGCTCATGGCAGTTCACCGAGGATGCCGCTTGTAGGGTTATTCCCACATTTTTATTTATTTATATCCCACTTTTATTTTTACAAACAACCCAAGTGAAGTGTCTATGGAGATTCTCAGTCATCCAGGTCATGGTTGTCCCAAAGGTGTTTTTTTTTTCCTAAAGGCAACTGGATTTCCAGAAAGACCAGTTGCCTCTTGGGGGAAAAAGCACCTTTGGGACAACCCAAGTGAAGATATCCTACGCAACTTCCTCATCCTGTTTTCTCCACAAAGCAACTTTGTGAGGTGGGTTGGACTGAGAGAGAGGGACTGGCCCCAAAGTCACCCAGGTGGCTTTAATGGCTGAGGTGGGACAAAAACTCACTGTCGTCAGTTTTCTTGCCTGGTGCCTTAATCACTAGACCAAACTAACACTACACCGTATTAACACAGTAAAGTAGATTGGGCTGAGAAAGGACCTCTGCAGTCAAATATGGACCGGATTTCAAGCCTACTTTGTCCAAAAGCAACCCTTTGAGTCACTCTCCTACAGTGGATCTCAGTTATTGTTGCTGTTTCTATTACATGGTAGTCCTCGACTTATAACCATTCACCTAGCAACCATAAAAAATTACAGCAGCATTGGAAAAAAATGATCTACATCTTGTCTTTACATTTATCACCATTGCAACATCTCTACGGTCATGTGAGCAAAATCACATGAGCCTTGGTGGCGCAGAGGACTAAACTACTGTTAAAGTAGCACTTAGTTGCCAGCTGCCTGCAATTACTGCGAGTTCAATTCTCACCAGGCTCAAGGTTGACTCAGCCTTCCATCCTTCCGAGGTAGGTAAAATGAGGACCCGGTTTGTGGGGGCAATAAGCTGACTTTGTATAAAATAGAACACCGCTTAGGAGGCCCCAAAAAGCCCTACTAAGCAGGTATATACAAAAATAGGAAGGCTATTGCTTAAAAGCATTGTAAACCGCCCTGAGACTCCGGAGAAGGGCGGCATATAAATCAAACTAATAAATAAATAAATAAATAAATTTGGGCACTTGGCAACCAGTGTGTATTTATGATGGTTGCAGCATCCCAGGGTCATGTGATCCCCACTTGCAAATTTCCCAGCTGGCTTCTGAGGGAAAGCTAATTTGCTTAACAATTGTGTGATTCAGTTAACAACTGCAGTGATCCCTTTAACAACCATGGTAAAAAAAGATCATAAAATGGCCATGATCCACTTACCGTAACTGTCTTGATCAATAACAGAAATTCTGGCCCCAACTGTGATCATAAATTGAGGATTACCTGTATATCTTTGTCCATCGCTCCAAAATCTTTTTGGCTATCAGCGTTCCTGATTTGAAAACTCCATGAGTTTTTAGGACTTACTCATAATGCCCTAAAAATTGGGATGGAAAAGAGAAAAATTGCAGGGAGAGGAGAAATGACCACCACCAGTTGGGATTACAGTAAAAATTAGAAACTTGCACTTCTCCTTTATATTCTTCACCTGGAAAAAGAAAATTAAAGTCACCCTCCCCCAACTGCAGGTAAGTGTTAAAAAGAATAGAAGACATTTTCAGGATGTGGCACCAGTTGAAACAGATTGAGCTAAATCCATTTTATCTCTAAATGATGGAAAGTATAAGCAAAACAAGGATTTCTCCCAGCAATAAAAATTCCTTCCTTGAAATAAGTACATGATTTATTATTTTCAGCTACAAACAGAGCAGGATTGTGCTGAGTGGAGTTTTTGTGACTGCCCGCTTGGAGAAATTCAGGTACAGTTGTTCACATTTATCCTCATCTGGGCCTACATGTGGTTTTCACCCTCAGCTGTAAATCAGCAACTGTAGCCAATACCTCAAATTCTGCTCATGGTGTTTATAACTCTTACACTTTCAACAAAACAGCTATTTGATAATAAGCCAGAAATACATAGTGACAGATGAATATGACGTACTTTATGCACACACCAAGTACAATGCATCTCGAATACAACTTTTTTTCTTTTCCAGTTTACAGTACTCTAAAAAGAGATTAGTGGACGTAACTTGATTTTTTTTTCTTTAAAGCTACATGTCTATAACTATTTAAAGATTTAGACTATTAGCTTAATCCAAGATCTTGATTGATGAGAGTGATACACATGCACTCATTTTTAACAAATAAAATGCTTCAGAAGCAAAGAATTTAGAATGAATTTAAAGTTTAAAAAAAAGATGGTAGGGAGTTTTTCTGCCAGCCATCCTTGTTCTATATATATGTCTTTAGAAGGATAATCATCCTGCAAAATGAGGAAAAATATGGAGTAGGTTGGAAAGAAAAGGATTCAAAGTCCTTCTCTATAATTCTTCCAATTACAATTTTTCAGGGATGCCTTTCAGTTTTTCACAAACACGGTTTTAAAAAACCCAAGACATATGACATATAACAAATTGTTTGCCCTTCAGATTCGCCCTCTCTCTCTCTCTCTCTCTCTCTCTCTCTCTCTCTCTCTCTCCATTTTTCTCTCTGCCTTCAAGTCATTCATGACAACTACTTGGGCAAGTCACTGCAGTTTTCTTGGCAAGATTTTGGGAGTGGTTTACCATTGCCTGCTTCCTAGGGCTGAGAGAAAGTGATTGACTCAAGGTCACCCAGCTGATTCCGTGCTTAAGGTGGGACTAGAACTCATGGTCTCCCACTTTTTGGCCTGATGCCTTAATCACTACACCAAACTGGCACTCATCTCTCAGAAAAAACTCAGTTTTGTAGAACTGCATGATAAGCTAAAACATAAAAAATAACCACATAGCACTATGTTTTTAAAAAAAAAAAAAAAAAAGTTTTGGAAGTGCTCTGGTTAAAATTTTCATATGCAGGTCCAATTTCAGAAACTTTGATATGTACATTGAAACAGTTAGTGAGCCAGCTTTTCACTGTTGACTCAGGAACTTGTTGATGTTACTCCAGTAGTGAAATTCAGCAGGTTCTGACAGGTTCTGGAGAACCGGTAGCGGAAATTTTGAGCAGTTTGGAGCAGTGGTAGAGGAAATTTTGAGTAGTTTGGAGAACCGGCAAATACCACCTCTGGCTGGCCCCAGAGTGGGATGGGAATGGAGATTTTGCAGTATCCTTCCTCTGCCACACCCACCAAGCCACACCCACCAAGTCACACCATGCCCACCAAGCCACGCCCACAGAACCGGTAGTAAAAAAATTGGGATTTCACCACTGCGTTACTCCCTTATGTTGAAGGACAACAATCCAGAATGGAATTTAAAACAATAGTTTAAGGCAAGTCATGGCCTACTTATAGGATATCTTTCTTTCATATTCTTTAACCAGCAAGGGTCTCCATGCCCATCAGAGGCTATCAGATCTCTCTGGAATAAGAGACCACCTTAGAGTGCTTTTTAAATATTTCTGTCTGTTGCCCAGGCATGAAAATTAGAAGAAACATCCCAGAAGAAGCAAACATACAAGTCCACAAAGTGACCAGAAGTTACACTCAACTCAAGGAACAGTTTCCTAAAAAAATAAAAAAAATAAAAAACACCTTAAAATGCTTTTGAAACCCTCTTAAATTACAGGTGGGATGAAGATGCACCCAGATAACATTTTAAAGTATGTTTTACTATGGGGTTAAAAAAGAACAAGATGATTGAGAGAAGGTCTCAAAAAAGTTGACTCCCTCTAGAACTCCCACATGAACATAACAATGCTCTGGCAGTATTTGGGAGGGGGAGCTGTGTCCTTATGTCATTGCCTTCCTCTTGACCCCCATCATCCCAGGAATGAGGTAGCTTTAAGTCTTCCTTGGCCATTTCAGTGCTAGAATAGTGTTCTCTTAAGCCAACAGCCTCCAGGTTCAGCTACAAAGGGTGTAATATTTGTTACACTTCACTGCCCATTATGTCAAAGGTGAAGTCAGGTGATTTTTTTTTTTATTTTTATGTGTTACAAACAAGATTTAAATATGCTAGCCTCATGATTGTGCAATTTCTTCAACCAAGCAAAGAAGAACCAACAGTTCTTCTGGGTTTCTGGCAAACAGCTTCTTCAGTCCTGTTCTGCAGATCATTTTGGAGTTGCATTTCCCCTCATATCCCTTTCACTACAGCACAGGATTCTGAAATAAATTCCTTCCCTGTCTCAGGCATCGTCCAGCATTCTCATATATTTGTTGGGATTGATCTGGGCCTGATTGTTTCTTTCCTCTGTTTTATTACATGTGGG